TATCCCCCAGATCTGCACCCGTGCTTTGGGAGGTGACCTTCTTTGGTCCTCTATCCAGCCCTCAGATCACTGTCATTGTCACTGTCCTCCCGTTGTTCATCAGTTTGCTCGAGTGGTCCCAGTAACGTCTCCATCATGAGATTTGTTGGTACTGTGTTTGGCATATCAGATACGTCATGGGGAGCTTGCTAGGCTTTGCCGTGCAGGCAAGATACTCTCGGTAGCTTGCCAGGCTCTCCCAGAGGGGCAGAGGAATCAAACCCGGGTTGGTCTGGTCAGCTGCACACAAGGCAAACGCCCTACCCACTGTACTATCGCTCCAGCCCTCAGATACACTGAGCTATGTCACTGTTGATGAGTGTGCCTTGTCTAGAGTTTTCTGTGACTGGAATCAGACATGTACTCTATTTTTATTGGTCTGACTTCTTCTATAATTCAGCACATTTCTGTTCCGGGGTAACCCAGGTATGTATCTAGTTCATTTCTTCTTATTGCTGATTACTGGGCGTTAAATCCACAATTGGTCTTTTCAGCCACACGCTAACGGACATTTGCGTTGCGTATAGTTTGACTATTACAAATAAGGCTGCTGTAAATATTTGTGGACACGTGTTTTCATAACTCTTGGGTAAATGCTCATGTGTGAAATGGCTGTGTCGTAAGCCAGACACATGGTTTACTCTTTTTAAGAAGCTGCCAAGCTTTTTAAAAGTTACTATACTATTTCTGTTCCTTCTCACCAGTGGTCAATGGCTTCTGTCCTTTCCAGGCCTGAATAACAGATGGTCAGCATTTCACATGCTGGTTCATTTTCAGTGGGTAGATCACTTCTCTGACCTTACCTTGTATTTCCCCAGTGGTTGGTGATGTTAATCACCTTTTCGTATAATTATCAGCTGTATTTCTTTGATGAAGTGTCAATAAGTTTGATGTCCATTTTCTAATTGGGTCGTTTTCAGACTTGTGCTTTGACAATTCTTTGTATGTTACGGATATAGTTCCTTATTAGCTGTCTGATCTGGAAAGATGTTTCTTCTAGTCTAACCATCCTTTTTTTTTTTTTGAGGCACAGTTCATAAGTTTTGATTGAATCCAGTTTATCGGGGTTTTTTTTTATGGTTTGTGGCTTTTGCATTTATAATCAAGGAGTTTTTGACTAAATATTAAATTCACATTTATATTGACTATCCATTTAGAACTAAATTTGTTTCTGTCAGATATGGACGTGAACTACCACGTGATGTTTCCATGTGATGTGACATTCCTTAAAACCTGATTTTTAAGACTGCAGGGTCATCCGAATACATGAATAATATCACACCTTACCACTTCCATGACACTTGATCAGTTTTTATTCTTCACAAATACTTTGGGGACTGGGGAGACATGGTCCAGAGGGTGAGGGGCTTGCCATGCTTGCAGCTGACCTGGGACCGGTCCCTGTACCACATACGGTCCCCCCACAGCGCCAGGAGGATGCCCTGAGCCTACTCTCAGGTGTGTCCCCAAACCAGAACTACATACATATTGTGTATAGACACACACACATCCAAGTGCATGTACTCTGTATATGCACTTCAAACATGCACACTCAAATCTTCCTCTTTGTTTTTTTTTCTTCTGTTTTGGCCCAAGGTTCTTCTAAATGAGTCACCGAATTAACATGCATGCACATGGAGAGGGCTTTGATGACATTCTTTCATAATGGGTTCCAGACAGGTCTCGGCAATTCATAATCGCACCAGCACCAACAGTGCTTTCCTTCCGTCTGGCATGTTCCGTCTGTGTGAGGGACTGGGGGTGCCCGAGTGCCCGCTGCCCGGTGGTGGCCGCCTTCACCTCCTCTTCCTCCTCCTCCTCCCCCTCCCCTTCACCTCCTCCTCCCCCTCCCCTTCCCCCCCCTCCTCCTCCTCCTCTTCTCCCACACACTGCCGACAGAGCAGCCCCTGCCAGCCCTCCACTTCCACCGAGTCCAGGACTGAGCCAGGGAAGCAGACGCACCCCCCCCATGCTGGGGGCCCGCGTGAGGACCCGGCCGGTCCCTCCCGGCTCCTCATCCCCTGGCATCGTCCTTCCCCTCCCACCCGGCGCTGCCCTGGACCCGTGCTCTGAGAGGAACCAGCTGAAGGCAGTGCTGTCGCCCCCCCCCCCCCCGGCCTCGAGCCCACCTTGGAGCCTCCCCCTCTCTCTCACCCCTCTTGCCTGCAGACTTCTCCCAGGGTGGGTGGCAGGGGCTTGCTTGGCAGCCCGGCAGAGCTGCCACCTACTCTGCCCTTGCTGGCCAGAGCACCCGCTCCCTGACCCCCTGCCTCTGGCCAGGGCGCGCGCAAGGGTGGCTGTCGCCGGTTTGCTTTCTGCTCGAGGCCCCAGCGGGCATCTGCTCCGGCTCCCTTATCCCCTCTCCCCTCCTCCTCCCCCCCCCACACCTGCTCACCGGCACCTCAGACCCCTCTGTGCTCCCCCTCCCCCACCCCGGGGGTCCGGGTCCCAGCCCTGGTTTCTCACCGGCTGACCCTGCACACTGCAGCCCGCGGGTCACCCCAGCGCCTCTCGCCATCCACGCTTGTCACCCGTGTGCTCTGCTTCCTCCGCAGCGAGTCTTCTCCTCCCTCCCTTTATTTGCTTTCTTCAAAGCAGAAAAAAATAAATTAAAACCCACCCCAGTTCCATAGGATTCATCCCCCTTTATGCCCTTCGGTGTTTCCGCTGCTTGTCTCTCCAGGCTGGAGGAATAGCACAGCAGGTAGGGCGTTTGCCTTGCACGGGGCCGACCCGAGTTCGATTCCTCCGCCCCTCTCAGAGAGCCTGGCAAGCTACCAAGAGAATCTCGCCCGCACGGCAGCGCCTGGCAATCTCCCCGTGGTGTATTTGATATGCCAGACACAGTACCAACAAATCTCACAATGGAGACATTACTGGGCCCGCTCGAGCAAATCAATGAACAACGGGAGGACCGTGACAGTGACAGTCTCTCCGGTAGATGTTATTTTACTCAGCGGCATGATCCTCCAGCTGACAAAGTGAGCTGCGCCCCACAGACCCCCTCCTAGAGCACCAGGCTGTGCCTGGCCTGCGTCCCGGGGCTGCAGATCTGTAGAGTGCTGAAATTCTCTTCCCAGACACCCCCACTCTGGGGCCCATGCGATGACGGGCGATTTGGTTTGCAGGGGACGGCATTTCTGCTCACTCGGGCCCTCCCCACAGGGCGAGGTCTTTGTCACCTGCCACAAAGATGGGCTGTTACGAAGCCTCAGCCACCTGTAACTTCCCTTTCAAATGAGTGAGTCCTTCGTTGTGAAGACTCTCAGAGACTCTCAGTCTTGAGGCCGTTGAGGCTTGAGACCGCTCCTTACTCTGCCTCCAATGAGGACACTGAGGTCTGGGTTCTGCAGTACTGTTAACGATGGTTTCTCATACACATAATCCTAGCACCACACCCATCACCAGGGCCCCCAGTCCCTCTCCAAGGACCCCAGTGTCCCTCCACTTCAAATCCCCTCCCCAGCACAGTGGTGTGGATCAGACCTCCCTGCTTGTGCTGCCCTCGGCTCATTGTTCCTCCCTCGCTGTGTGTCTTTAAGTCCCATACCTGAGGGATCGTTCTGTGTCCATCCCTTTCTTCCTAACTGACTTCACTCAGTTAAATATCCTCTACTTTCATCCATGTTGCAGCAGATTGCATGGTTTTGGTCATTTTTAGAGCTGCATAGTATTCCATTCTGTATCTATATCGTAACTTTCTTGATCTCTTCGTCCATAGTTGGGCATTTGGGTTGTTTCCATATCTTGACTTTCACATGAACCTAGGTGTGCATACAGCCTTTCAGATAAACGTCTTTGTGTTTGGGGGATTGAACCAACAAGTAGTATTGCTGGGTCATCTGCGCATTCCTGTCCTGCTTTATTGGAGAGATTTCCATATTGCTCTCCATAGAGGCTGAGCCAGAAGACATTCCCACCAACATGGGTGGGTTTCCTTTCTCACCCCAAACATTGCAGTTTCCAGACTTTGGGATACAGGGTGCTCACAGTTTGTTCCTTCCCCATGACTGAATGCCTCTGGGAGCACCAAGCAGAAGGGCTCCATCCCTCAGCTGCTGTTCTGAACAATGTAGTCGCATGGGAAGCCTGTCTGAAAACTGTTCCAAAGGAGAGAATGATGTGTTTAGGACACATATGAAGGAAATGAGCGGCCGCGTGACATCTTATTATCTCATTCTTACTTTGGACAAACTTGCAGGCTATCGAATGTAGCCTGCCCACAGGGCAGAGTCTGGCAAACTCCCCGTGGCCTACCAAATATGCCAAATATCAGTAACAATGATGGGTCTCATTCTCCTAAAGAGCCGTGAATATAATCTCAGGGCTAGGATGAAAGAGACGTTACTGGGGCCTGCTCGAGGCAATCGACGATTAACAGGATGATGAAATGAAATGAAAAAAAAAAATGAAAAAAACTCAGAATAATGTTTTTTAAGTAGGAATAGGAACAGTGTAAATTACTTAATTAGGCTTCATGAGGAAAATATCTAAATCTGAGGGTAATGATTTGTTTTCATTTCTCAGTGTACTATATTTGGTCTCACACATTTGCTTCTAAAGGGCTGGAGCGATAGCACAGCGGTAGGGCGTTTGCCTTGCACGCAGCCAGCCCGGCTAAGCTGGGTTCGATTCCTCCGCCCCTCTCAGAGAGCCCGGCAAGCTACCGAGAGTATCTCACCCGCACGGCAAGGCCTGACAAGCTCCTCGTGACGTATTTGATATGCCAAACACAGTAACAGTGAGTCTCAAAAAATGGAGACATTACTGGGCCTGTTCGAGCAAATCGATGAACAATGGGAGGACAGTGTTTGTTTGTTTGTTTGCGTGCTTCTAAAAGGATTTAAGGTTAATTTTATAGTTAAAAAAAAAAGCACAACCACAACTCATTTGAGTCGTACGCCCCTGCCCCATTGGGTGTGACTTTGGGAATTTCCAACTAATTCTTCTTTTCTTTCTAGGTTGCCGCTTGGTGCTGCATTGGCCGTACTTGGCACCCGGAATGCTTCACTCTCTGATGATGTATTGATAAGGTTCCCTTGCTAGAGTCTGAAGCAGGGTCTCCAGGTACGTGGCTTTTACCATTATATGGCATGGTTTTCAACGTCACCAGTTATTCCAGCTACCGAATCACACAAGATCCGATACGGAAAGCTTTGGAAAGCATGCCACATAATAAGCATGCCACTTTGCCGGCTCTGTATTGTGATCGGCCGGACTTCTATCCACACGGCCTAATGGAAGGATTGGAATGCTGGCCAGGAGCGGTCCCTCGTACCCCGTGGGCAGAACGCGTCGCGGATGGAAAAGCTTATTAGTTCATATTCCCCCAAAATAGCCCACGGATGAACTCTTAAGCTCTCCCATCTCTGCATCTCGTGGCCCTGGTTCCACGTTACCACCAGTCCCGCTTCTATGGCTGGGAGGAATCTGATGGACTCAGGGAAGGTGGGGGGGTGGGGGGCAGCTGCCCCCACCCCAGAGCTCGCTGCGGCTGGGCTGAGACTGGAGTCAGGATCTCAGCGGACAGCCCTGGCTTGCTCGCCTTGGTAGGAAGTGGACACACGCAGGCTTCTGGGGTGTCTCGGCGTGTGCAGATGTGCGCCTCAGGCACAGAGTGGAGGTGTAGGGAGTCTGGGCATATGCGGACTTGGTACCAGGTAAGTTCATCACCAGGGCCGCAGAGGCAGGCTGGCCAGGGCCTGACACCTGACGGTGGGAAGACTGGTCACCTCAAAGGCGCTGTGCCAAACACCAGCGGGTGGGGGCTCAGACTCCTACTCCAGAGGCAGCAAGAGGGAGGGAGAGGAAGCAGAGGGCCAGGCCAGGCCTCACCTCAGGGCTCTGCAGTGAGAGAAAAGGTCTTTAAATTCACTTGTCAGGGGCTGGGGTGATAGCATAGCGGGTAGGGCGTTTGCCTTGCACGCAGCCAACCCAGGTTCGATTCCCAGCATCCCATCTGGCCCCTTGAGCACCGCCAGGAGTAATTCCTGAGTTCAGAGCTAGGAGTAACCCCTGAGCATCGCTGGGTGTGACCGCCCCCCCCCCCCAAAAAAAAAAGCAAAAAAAAAATTTTTTTTTTGAAATTTTTTTTTTTTCAAATTTTTATTAGTGAAACCCTATGAGGTACAGTTGTAGATTTACAAATTTTTGTGCTTGGGTTTCAATTGTACAATGATCAAATACCCATCCCTCCACCAGTGCCCATTTTCCACCATTATGGATCCCAGTATCCCTCCCACCCCCTATCTCCCCCCCCCCCCACCATCCCACCCTGCCTCTGTGGAAGGGCATTCCCTTTTGTTCTCTCTCTCCTTTTGGGTGTTGTGGTCTGCAAAAGAGGCATTGAGTGGCAATCATGTTCAGTCCATAGCCTACTTTCAACATGCATCTCCCCTCCTGGGAGGATTCTCCGCAAAAAAATTTTTAAATAAAATAAATCCACCTGTCAGATTCTCTAGCGAGCATCAGGTTCTATGAAACAAGACAATAACTTTGAGTCCACGTGAAGTTGAAGCTCTTTATTGAACTACAAATGTTCTTGAAGTATATTCCTGAAAGTGTGTGGCTTTTTCAGCGGTATGCATTACTGATTACTTGTATTACAGACGTTCTTGAAGTATATTCCTAGAAGTTTGTGACTTTTTAGTGGGATGCATTATTGATTACTTTTTGTACGTCATGGTAATTTTTAAACTTGTTTTTCACGGAAGCGGATTTTTAGCGGTTTGAAAAGGGGGGGATCAACCAACTATAATATTGCACTTTGTCTTCTTTTTGATTTTCTCTTGTATCTCTAAGCAGTTAAAACTGTCCTCTCTGTTCTGCATGAGGCTCTTAGTTGAGTGTCACGTGAAGAATAGCCTTTGAAAGGTATTGGCATTTTGCTCTGTTCTTTTCCCTCACTCTCTGACTTTTACTGTATCCAAACCATAAACTATCATTAACACCTGTCTTACACGCTGAAGGAGTCACGGAACAAAACACTGAAAAGAAGAAATGATCTAAAAACCTGGTCAGTGGGGCTGGAGCAATAGCACAGCGGGTAGGGCATTTGCCTTGCACCCAGCCGAACCACGTTCGATTCCCAGCATCCCATATGGTCCCCTGAGCACCTCCAGGAATAACTCCTGAGTGCAGAGCTAGGAGTAACCCCTGTGCATCACCTGGTGTGACCCATAAAGCGGAAGAAAAAAAAAAAACCTGGTCGGTAGCTTCCTGCCTGCATGGGCCACTGAGTCGAATATTCCCACTGACAGAAACGGGGTAGGCCCCTGGGAGGATATGAGTCTCCTCGAAAGTCCCGCCTCAGAAGGAAAAAACAAAAAGACCAGAGACGTATAGTTTCATTCTAGTGGAACTGATTTTAAATTGGTTGGAGACTGAAGGAACTTGGAAACCTCCACCTGCCTGTCGAGTCCTGAAATCGCTTACGAGTACCGTAGGTGGTAAATCCTGAATGTGGGCCCTGCGACAGGCCCCTGAGCAAGTGCCCGAGATGGGATTGGAACTGACGGTCACTCTGGATGCCCAGCCGCACAAAAAGCTCAGTAGCCAGTCTCAGGGGAAGGGCTCCGAGCGGCACAGAGCTGAAGTTCTTTCTTTCTCAAGCAGTTGGCATCGGCGGGGCAGCCTCAGATGGATGAAAGGTCTTGTCAGAGCGGCCCCGGGCAGAATGTAGACAGTGGAGGTTCTGTGGAAGTGGAGAAAGGGGGTAGCCTCGGTTTGACACTTTCGCCTCGACAGGAGCCCAGTGAACGTCAGCTGTGTGGGGAGAAAGAAGTAAGAGGCGGCCAAGCCCAGCTCTAGTTTGATCCGAGACCGCACGGACGTAACGCTGGGCGGTCGAAGTGATGAGTGACACGGAGTCTGGCGGACACGTGGGCTCCGTCTTCTTGACTCTGCGGGGCGCCCCTCGCAGTTTGGCACCCACACTCGTGTCCCATCGTGTCATCTGCCAGAGCGCAAAGCCGCGTGGCACTTCGAGACGTCTTCGGTTGCGTTCACTTGGCCCAAGCTGTTTTTTGTTTGTTTGTTTTAACTAATTAAAATCATCTTCCCTGTTCCCCCTTGGTCTTCCTGCCTACTGTTCTCGCCTTTCTATTTGGATCTCTTACAGACTCAGTGTGAGTGGTTTGAAGCGTTCGAACATGAAGCCTAGATTAGGCTGTTTGTCGTTTTAGTAGCACGGGGCGTTGCCTCGGAGAAAATGAAGTTGTAGCCCCCGACTATTGAGGTCCGTTCAGATGGAACGTGTTTCTGGTTGGTGTGGGGCATTCTTGTTGTCTCCTCGTCCCCTGTTTTCACGGTTTGGGAGATTGGCAGTTTCCAGATCACACCCCGGAAGCTGCCTCTCCTTTTCACACTACCCAGAACACCAATATTTTAGACATTCTTTACACAAAAAGAAAGCAGATCAAATGTGGAAGGCCTCAAAACGTAACGAAAGCTTTGACGAAACTGTCTTGGTACTCAGATATCATTATTCTTCTTTGTTCTCGAGCACCATTGCTTTTTGTTCTCTGATTTTCCTGTTTGCAAAGATGCTATCCTCCATGGGGGAAAAAAGTGAAACTACCCCCAGTGAACCACTCATCAGCTTGTAAGACTGTCCATTTTTCAGACGGGGCTAGAGAGATGGTGCGGTGGTCAGGGCTCTTGTCTTGCACGTAGCCCACCCAGCTTTGAGCCCCAGCCCCATCTGGTCCTCAGAGACCTCCTCCACCCCCCAAGGAATGACCCTGGTTATGGGGGAAGCCTTCAGCACCACTGGTGGTGGGCCAGTAGCCCCGCCTCAAATGACATCCACCAGGAGGGTACGGATTTTGTCATCTAGTAGTTAAAGTGGTGACTCTAACGTATAGAACATAAAAAAAAAAATAAGAAAAGCCTTTTAACCTAGTACGACATTCTGTGCTCCATAAAACAAGCAAGAAAAATGTTTCTGACCTGGAAACCAAGTTTTATTTGAAAATTCCATCTCGAGCAGATGGTCTATTTGCTCTCTAGGTATACCCGGAAACCAGCAAGCAGACCTCTCCGGCGCAGGGTGGTCCGAAGGGAGACCCTGGCTGTGCCAGAGGCTCGTGTCATCTGTTGGTCAACATAGGGGTTGACTTTTCGCCCTCTGTCGACTCAGAAAAGCCAGTGGGTGTGCTGTTTCCCTTCTCCGTTGGGTTTTTTTTTTCCTGCTATTTGTGTAGTAAAAGTGAGTTTTCTGGGGCCAAAGAATGAGAGTGGGGTTAAAGGTGTTCCAATTGGTCACCCTTAATTTATTTTTAAAATTTTCGTAATTATAGCACGTAGTGTAGTGCAATGAATTTTCTGATATCCGTCGCTTCGGGCATAAAATGAGTTTTTTCCAGCCCCTGCCTCAATCCCAGCTCCTTGCCTCTTCTTCCCCCACCCCCCTCGAAGCCCCTGTTCTCCCTTCTGCTTCCCCATCACAGCCCACCGCTCAGGGGTGCTGGTGCAGGCTTTTTCCGTTCTTGGATTTCTTATTAGGAGCAGGAGCTGCATTGTAGCACCCACGTTATACTGCGCGATTTCTTTACTTTAATTTTTTTTTTGCTTTTTTGGGGGGAGGGGTGTCACACCCAGCGATGCACAGGGGTTACTCCTGGCTCTGCACTCAGGAATGATTCCTGGCGGTGCTCGGGGGACCCTATGGAATCCTGGGAATCGAACCTAGGTCTGCCGTGTGCAAGACAAATGCCCTACCCGCTGTGCTATCGCTCCAGCCCCAACTGCGTGATTTACTTAGCAGTAGGGTTCACCCGACAATGCTCGTCTCCTGCAACTCTCCAAGTCTCTGCCACTGCTTTGGTCTTATCACTGCTGCCGCCTTTCAAAACTGCCTTTGTAGTGGTCGACGTTTGGGGACCGAATTGTGTCACGCTTTTTTCCTGGGCTCTAGTTGTCTGTTCTGTCCTATGTTTGCTCTAGTGATGGAACAAATGATGAACAGGTTCATTTCACGGCTAGAAAGCACTTGCCCTGCTTTCATTTCCTTCCTTCATTCGGCAAGAGTTTTCCTTCCTTTTCTGGGAACTATTGATGAGGAAAATTAACACAGCACCAGCCCCACTGTTTGTCTACAGTGTTTGTAATTTGTTGGATATTAATAGCTGCCGGATCCCCCCCCCCCTTTTATTTTTTTTCTCTAATAACTGACATCTCATTCCTACTTTGGACAAACTGGCATGCTGCCAAATGTAGCCTGCCCACAGGGCAGAGTCTGGCAAACTCCCCGTGGCGTACCCAATATGCCAAATACCAGTAACAATGATGGGTCTCATTCTCCTAAAGAGCCGTGAATATAATCTCAGGGCTAGGATGAAGGAGATGTTACTGGGGTCTGCTCGAGGCAATCGACAATTAACAGGATGATTTGTGATTTGTGAATAACTGATTTTAAGACCTGTGAAAATTGAGTGCTGTAAAAATTATTCTAAGGAATCCAGAGGTGTTCTAAGTGTGCTATTGCCTTACTTCAGCCATTTCTCTCCGAAATGGTTTATTTCACATTATACAGAGCTCTGATGTGTTTTGTAAACACGAATGAAAGTGTTGACTGCTGGTAAGTTTCCTTTTGCAATTAGGCATAAAACATTGAAAAGTGAAAGTCATGTTTTAGGTAAATGTGGGCATTTTCTAAATTGTTTACTAATGGAAGTTTCCTGATTGACATGGGAAGAATGGCATTTTTGCCTTTGATGTCATTTGTCCTTAATTAGCAAAGTGTGATTTTAACTTGAATATGAAAGATGTATTAATGAAGGTAAGTATTGCAAAGTTTACAGCTATTAAAGAAATTATTATCAGAATTGGATAGTTTCATGAAAACAGTTTCAGTATAGGCAGGCCTGTTCTTTTTGGCCTGTATCCTCAGAGGAATTCATGTTAGTAGACCTTCTGATGTATGATTCACTTTTGCTTGCTATTTTTCTATGTGAGTCACCGTTTCAGAATGTAAAACATAGAAGATAAATCTGTCTGGCACACACACAATCTTCTCTTTAATTATTGTTTTTACATATGCAAAATTGCCCGAGGAAGCAAAGAGACTGTTCCGACACTACAAAATATGCATAAGGTTTTCCGAAGCACCTTCTAGGGATTCGAAACCTGTGGCATATACGTTTTTCCATAAAGCGGATGGTTTATGGTTCTTCAGCCAGACAGAGGCATAGAACTTTTAATTACTTAAAGCCAAATAACCCGTCCTTGGAACATAGAAAGGAAAAACAGAGATACAAACTGTGCCTTGTAGACTTTTCAAAATAGCAGTCACAGTGCTGTTTAAGCGTGCCTCAGAGAGTCAGGAGAGAGCTCAGAGGCAGACGCCTTGCCTCCCCTCAGCGTTGAGCATCCCAGCACCGCCGGGTGCCACCCAGACCAGGGCACCCCCAAAGATCACAGATGGAAAGCAGGCTTTATTTTTCACATTGATTACATCGAGCTAAGTAATAATGAACTCTGTCCTGCCCCTGATTTCCTTTGTTTGGAGAAGTAATTAGCAGTGCTCTGAAATTTCTTGGCCACATGTGAGAACTCAGAGCAATTCGGGTGAGTTTAGGGAAATTCACCATGACTTGGAAACTGTGTTTTGTGTTAAAAATTAATGAAAATTATGGCTTTATGTATTATTGAATTTCGGACTGTAAAATGTGTAACGGGTAATTTGTAGGCTTGTCATATTTCAGATCAAGAGAGTATTGTTTTACACAACAGTGAAATACTGAGGTTCTAAAGGATTTTGATTGTTAACGACCGTGTGCCGTGGGCATCATGTTTTCGTCTTTGAGCTCTGTAGTAAAATTTACACTGGACCAGAAAAGAAGAAAAATGTGTTGGTTGGTGGTGATCAGTCGACTCTGGCTTTAGATCTTTGCCAACCCGAATCATTTTCCCACTCAAATGTGATAGTTCCTCTTTTGAACTCTGATTGAAACGATGTCGAATTTGCTCTGCAAAATGTATCGATTAAAAGACGCTTTTAAGTCTTAAAATGTGTTTCCTTGGGGGGCCTTACTTGGCAGCTCTGACAGAGAAGTAAGTACCAACTACGCCCTCCTTGTCTTTGTGCCCTGCACCTTGGTTTGCCGGCCTGCCCTCCTGGCCCGTGCTGGTCAGAGGGACACGGGAGTCTGCGGCAGAGTTTCCCTGTGCCTCTGTGTTGGCGTCCGCGCCTCTCCACTCTGAATAGCAAAGCGGATGCGCGGACGCTCAGGTCCGTTGAATTTCAGGCAGATGGTAGAGATGAAAACACTCCCCTCGCAGGTGCTAGAGTCACTAAATACACACACGCGGGCTTCCATCCTCTTAGTAACCCTACCCAAAACTCAGTATGGGCCCGGGCAAGTAAGTATCTACAAAATTAATTTCATCGTTTTTGCAATTTTTTATGTGCAGAATTCAGTTCTTCCATTTATGCATGCCCTGTGCTTTCCCAAAGAACGGAGCTCTCGCTTTTAACTTTTTAAATATCTTTTGTTGGCCTACATTTTAATTTTTCTTGTCTTTGAAGCTGTGAGAATAATGCTGCTTTCAATTATACTCAGTATTTTTGCGTTGATGCTTGAATGCCACCTGTTAACGATTTTATTTACACGTCGTCAAATTCTGTAAAGTTCAGCTGGGGAGTTTAATCAAATTTATGCTTAGGACAGCACCTAAAATCATTTTCAATAAAATATTATTGGTGAAGATGGCATTTGAATCATTTGATTAGGATTATCCCTCTCACATTCTTAATGACTATTTTTCAATATTCATCTTTAAAAGAATTCAGAATTTACTAAGCTCTTGGTTCACTGTATGCTCAATCACAGAAAATACTAGTTCTTTCTTCCTTTGGACTATTAGTCTTTCACTTCTTCTTGTACAGCCAAGAACGATCAACTATTTTATTTTTTATTTCTTTTTTCATGCATGTTCTTGGTCTACAGAAGATCATGCAACTGATAGGCAGTTTTAAGTTATTGATTATTTTTTATCGTGATCTCCTGAAGCCAGAAGCTGCTTTCTGTCTCTCAGTCCTGTCTTCTGTAATAAGCCTGTCTTTAACTTCCCCGGTTTGCTCTTGAACTCTTAAGAGCAAGGGTTTCTGCTGCACCTCAGCAGTCCTTGCAGATTCTGAGGGGTGAATTGGCAGGTGTTACAGGGGAACAGATGTCCAGTGCAGAGGTGCTTGTGGGCCATGCGTGCAGTGTGGGTGTGTGAGTGCTTACTTTAGGAGCTACTATTCTTGGATGACGTGCCTCACACACACACTTTCCGAGAGAGAACTGAGTTGGGGGTGGATAGTCCAGCAGGTAGGGCAGTTGCCTTGCATGCAGCTGACCTGGGTTCGATCCCTGGCATTCCCTCTGGTCCCCCGAACCCACCAGGAGTGATCCCTGAGCTCAGAGCTAGGAATGAGGCCTGAGCACCACTAGGTATGGCCCCAAACCAAAAAAAAACAAAAAAATAAAAAACCTGAATTTATCTCTTCAGCAGTATCATTAAGTGGAATGAGGTTTTGACAAGTCACTTTACAGCTGGTTACCCTAATGCCCATTTACCTCAGTAGGCAAGTTTATTGAAAAACTAAATTGAATTTTGGAATAAAAAAGGGAAGTCATTCAGCATCACAAAATGCCGTTTGTGTGGGTTTTGCTATTTCACTTTATTTCTGCATTTATTTGGTTATGTCAGTGTGCTTAGAACTAATCATTAGCAATTGGTGAAAATTAATGCATGACTCAGCAGCAGGACATGGACCGAAGCATGCGCCATTACATTGCGATTCTTTGTTCCTTTGTTTTCCATCCTTTCTGTGCCAGTTTCTATTAGAGTGTAGTCCATTCTTATTTTTTTCTTCCATAGATTGGCCAAAATGGGAAGGACTGGATTCCACTCTCTTCCACAAAGAGTCAATGGAACGGGCTAAGATCAAGGTCTGAGGCCTTTCCCATCTGCCATCAGGTAGGCATTCAGCAGAAATCACGGCCGCTTTGTGCATGCGCTTCACAGTCCTGTATTTAATGAAGATGCTATTATGAATGCGAGCTTCCATTTGATTTGGAACTCAGAGATGTATGTTTAAACTTATCATGCACCTGTAACTTGATTAAGTTTCGTAAGATGTAAGATTAAAAGATATTATTAGCCTCTAAGAAAGTTCAGCTGGTCTCAGAAAAGTGTAATATTTGAAATCTGCTCTTCTCCATTGCTCAGTATGTACATGAAAGATAACAGAATTTATTTTCCATATTGAGTATGACTCAGTATCATTCACTGTTTACATATCGTTTCATGGTGCACTTTTAATACACTTTTTTGGGGGGGCCGGAAAGATCGTGGCGAGGAGTTGTGTAGGGCGCTTGGCTTGAATTCAGCCGACCTGTGTTCAGTTCCGGCCTCACTGTGTCCCTGCACACGCTGTCGTAGGGCTCCAGCTCCTCCAACTGTTCTAAAACATAAAATACACCTTTTTCCCCAATAATTTAGAAGTAATTTTTCTCAGATGGCATCCTCTACCCATTACGATTGTATTCCGTAACACACTAATGAGAGATCTGACCAGTCCTTGAAATATTTCTGGGTATTATCAACAGGGAATTAGTTATTTTGCATTCCCTGTTGATTTTACCCTGGGAAAAGTGATCAGCTTTCACAGAAGCGTTGTTAGGAAGTCACTTAGTCATAAACGTTTTCCCCCCTGTCTTGGCAGAATGCGTTAAACCAACTCCCAGGTCGTAGATTGACCACAGCAGAATAGCTCTGTACACGTTCCTGAGTGGCCGAGGGGCTGTCTCCAGAATGAGATCATTTTTTAAAACCCATGTCCCTAAGATCCAGAATTCCAAGCAAGAAGAAACATGGAATGTCGGCATCAGTAACGTTCAGCAGTCGTGGTTGTATCATTGTCACTGCAGGAGAGGCTTGAGGCAGTTTGAACAGCACAACCCCAGGTCTTGCCTGTATCCACCTCCTGATGCAGGAAGGGCACCCCGCCCCACCCTGTGGCTACCTGTGCCCTTGAACAGGTTGGATTGAATACTCGCTGTTGAAATTGGCGCTTTTGTCAACAGCCTCCTACATTACAATGCAATGGGGCGTATTGCCAAATGTACCCAGTGTCACTAAAGAAGGAAAAAGTTGGGGGCTGGAGTGATAGCACAGCACGTAGGGTGTTTGCCTTGCATGCAGCCGACCCAGGTTCGATTCCCAGCATCCCATATGGTCCCCTGAGCACCGCCAGGAGTAATTCCTGAGTGCAGAGCCAGGAGGAACCCCTGAGCATCGCTGGGTGTTACCCAAAAAGCAAAAAAAAAAAAGAAGAAGAAGAAGAAAGTTAGGAATGTAGAGCCCCTTCAAAAATATAGCTCGAGTCTGCAAAAACCATCAATCAGTGTCTTGTCAATCTGATACCAAAAGACACTGCTGGGGCCAGCGAGATAATACAGTGGCTAGGACATTTGCCAGGGGCATTCTGACCCATGTTCAATCCTCAGTGCCTTGTGGGGTCTCGTGAGCACTGCCAGTGTGGCCCAAAAACAAAACAAATGGGCTGGAGTGATAGTACAGCAGGGAGGGCATTTGCCTTGCAGATGGCCAGCCTGGGTTCAATTCCCAGCACCCTTTTTGGTCCCCCAAGCCCACCAGGAGTGATGAGCACAGAGTCAATATAAGCCCTGAATATAGCCAGGTGTGGCCCCAAAACCAGAAACAAAACAATAAGCAAAACTAAAAAAATACCAAAAAATTTTAAGAAAACACACATGATGTTTTCTTATAACTAGGTTGAAAAACCCATCTCACCAGTGTTTAATTACATTCATTTAGTCACCATAAAAGTAGTGTCACCGTTAAAACCTGGTCCCCGTTTTAGAGTCATCTCTTTAACGTTGTGAAAAAAGGCCACAGACACTCGTCATCTCTGTGTCCCTTAAAGGACCTTGTTACACTAGCTTCATGCACCTGGAGGGACTTAGCTCTTTCAGATAAATCTCGCATCTTTGGGGAGTTGATTTTTTTTTACCCTGGAGAAGTAGAGTTGCTAATATCTGCTGTCTCTTATCTATGACTTTCCAAAGGTTTCGATCAACTTAAAGTTGGGGGGTATACAAAACTGCCGTCCAATCTGTGCGGGTCACTCCTCCTCCCCCCGAAGAACTCAGACTCTGTGGCACAGCGTTTCCCATCCTCAGACTCCTCCTTCGTGCTGTTCCCTGGCACGGGTGCTGTGTCATGGACGGGAAATCCCTGTGTGTGGTGCCCACAGGTTTCTGGGGGATCGCAGAGACCCCCACCCCCACCCCCGGCCCTGGCTCAGGCTCAGTCAGTCCCTGACCTGGAGTACTCAGTGCCCAGAATTTCTTTCCTATGATGTGAGAAACAGGAAATTTATTCAGACAAATCTATCCTTGGAGATGAAGAGAGCCAGGGTGTTCACCTGATTCAACAGCAGAAGCTTGAGGCTGGAACTCTATAGTTCAGTGGGGAGGACATTGGCCTTGCATGCAGCTGACCCGGGTCCGATTCCCAGCATCGCATAAGATCCCCCCGAAGCACCGGTGATCTCTGAGCACAGAGCCGGGGGTAAGTCGTGAGCATCGCCAGCCTGGCTCAAAAAGTTAAAAAAAAAAAAAAAGAAAGAAAACACAAAAAATAAAAGCTTTATCATTCGAAGGCTAGAGCATCAGTACAGTGGGTAGGGCGTCCGCCTTGCACATGGCTGACCGACATCCAACCCCCGGCACCCCATAGGGTCCCCTGGGCCCGCCAATGGGGGGTACTACCTGAGTGCAGAGCCAGGAGTAAATCCCGAGCAGTCATGGGTGCCCAAAACACAAAACAAAACAAAGTTGACCCATTGCACATCCCATTAGAAAGATAATTTTTCTCTCTACTAGACTCAGGAACAGGAGAACACGGGTAGAAACCGGGAGTTTTCACTCTGGGGCGGTTGCATTCCGCCCCCTCAGAATCCCCCTCGTCTACACAGTGCTGCCTCCATGGACTGACAGTTCCTGAGGTGCCTTCCGGAGTTTTCTCTCGGTTGTGTGTACCTGTGTTCCTTTAATACAGAGTATGACTTGAACCAGCACACACAAATCAATGTTCTTTTTGAACCTTGCAAGATTTGCAGAAACGTTTTTGTTTTCAGTCCGATTTCCATGATCCAGCCTCTTGCGCCAAGTGAAGCCCATTTTCAGGACCACGATTCGATGCGCCCCCAAGCGTTCGCGGAATCTCTACTGGCTTTTCCCAAGTACAATCTCATCAGGGGGAGTCAAGAGTCTGTGTCAACTGTCCATCCTGAGCAATGCATTAATATGTTTCTTGGCAAGTGGAAAGAAACCCACAGATATTACATTAGACCAGCTGAATCCGTTTATGATTTCTTTTTAAACTCGAAAGCATCACATAGCAAGTTAAAAAAAAAAACATTTTTTTTTAATTAAGTTTACTTACAAACTAGTTGTTTCTTTATTTTTTTTTCCAGTCCCTTTTTGCTTTCTTTTCCGACCACATGAAACTTGAGACGTCACCTAACGCTAAATCACTTAGTGGAGTTGGGCGGTCCCCAAGTGTCCAACAAGAAGGCCTGCTTTAGGCCGCGATGGCCACTGTCATTCCTGGTGACTTGTCAGAAGTGAGAGATACCCAGAAAGTCCCTGCAGGGAAACGTAAGCGCGGTGAAACCAAACCCAGGAAAAACTTTCCTTGCCGGCTGTGCGACAAGGCCTTTAACAGTGTTGAGAAATTAAAGGTACACTCGTACTCCCACACGGGGGAGAGGCCCTACCAGTGCACGCACCGGGACTGCAGCAAGGCCTTTGTCTCTAAGTACAAATTGCAAAGGTACTCGCCTCTCCTTGTCTTTCGGCTTCTGCTTTCTGTCATGTTTGGCCGTGTGGGGCCGTCGTGAATGTCTGTGTTTGTCTACACACTCCTCTGCCGGACGCGCAGAGAGGAGGATGTTTGCGTAGCTTAGACTCGAATCTGGGGGACCTCAGCCGCAGGCTTTTCACTGTCTTTTGGTTGTCTTTGGAATTTTTGTTTATTTTTTTTAAATTTTTAATGATCGCTAAGCTATGCCTAGTGAGAGTTTAGCGTCCTCCTGGGCCCGGATCAAGGGCGTGGCCCTGTGCACGGGCATCATCGCTGCCGTCTTGCCTGTCTTCGCTTTCCTAGACCGAGGCGGGCGGCCCCTGGCAGCGCGGTGGCCGCGGCTCGGCCCGCAGGGTAGGCCTGTCCCCTCGCTCTGCTTGCCGTCCGTGTCTCGTGTCCTCTCGACGCGCGCGGTGTCCGAGCGGCTCGCTCCGAGCCATCGTAGCGTAGCAGCTGTTGGCGACGGGGGCTCCCGGCGGCCGCGGGCGGGGCACTGACCACCTCTGTCTGTGTTTCAAGGCACATGGCCACCCACTCTCCCGAGAAAACCCACAAGTGTAACTATTGCGAGAAAATGTTCCACCGCAAGGACCACCTGAAGAACCACCTGCACACGCACGACCCCAACAAGGAGACGTTCAAGTGCGAAGAGTGCGGGAAGAGCTACAACACCAAGCTGGGCTTCAAGCGCCACCTGGCCCTGCACGCGGCCACCAGCGGCGACCTCACCTGCAAGGTGTGCCTGCAGGCCTTCGAGAGCACGGGCGTGCTGCTGGAGCACCTGAAGGCCCACGCCGGCAAGGCGTCGGGTGGCGTCAAGGAGAAGAAGCACCAGTGCGAGCACTGTGAGCGGCGCTTCTACACGCGCAAGGACGTGCGGCGCCACATGGTGGTCCACACGGGCCGCAAGGACTTCCTGTGCCAGTACTGCGCCCAGCGCTTCGGCCGCAAGGACCACCTCACGCGCCACATGAAGAAGAGCCACAGCCAGGAGCTGCTCAAGGTCAAGACGGAGCCCGTGGACTTCCTGGACCCGTTCACGTGCAACGCCGTGTCGGTGCCCATCAAGGACGAGCTGCTGCCCGTCATGGCCCTGCCGTCCAGCGAGCTGCTGGCCAAGCCCTTCCCCAACACGCTGCAGCTGAACCTCTACAACAGCGCCTTCCCGTCCGTGCCCGGCTCGGGCGCCGCCCACCAGATGATCACCACGCTGCCCCTGGGGGTCACCTGCCCCCTGGACATGGACGCCGTGCACCCGCCCCACCACCTGGCCTTCAAGTACCCCTTCGGTTCTACCTCATACGCCATCTCCCTCCCGGACAAGGAGCAGCCGCTGAAGGGCGAGCTGGACAGCTACCTGATGGAGCTGCCGGCCGCCGCACCCTCCTCCTCCTCCACCTCCTCTTCCTCCTCCTCCTCCTCCTCCTCCTCTTCCTCCTCCTCCTCTTCCTCCTCCCAGGACGCGCAGGCCTCGGTCCCCGCCAAGGCGGGCCCCGAGCCCCCGGGCGCATCCTCCGAGGAGGCCGCCGGGGAGCTGGCCCTGTCCAAGAGCTCTCTCTCCATCGGCGACCCCCTGGGAACGCCGGCGCTGGACTTCTCGCAGCTGTTCAACTTCATCCCGCTCAACGGCCCCCCCTACAACCCGCTGTCCGTGGGCAGCCTGGGCGTGGGCTACTCCCAGGAGGAGGCGGCCTCGCCCGGGACCCCGCTGCCCGCGGCCAGCCAGGAGCTGCCGGAGGCGGCCAGCACACTGGGCCTTGGGCCCCTGCACTCGCTGTCGGCGGCCTTCGGCAGCAGCCTGGGCACCAGCACCACGCTGCCCCGCTTCCACCAGGCCTTCCAGTGACCCCCCCCCCCCCCGCCCCCGGGGGGAGCAGCCGGGTTTTATTTTTTGGCTTTTTATTTCCCCGGTTTCCTTAAGAGGTACCGCGTAGACCTGCCTTAGAGGAATGTTTTTTTTATTTTAGTGCCTACGTAAAAGACATTTATGGAAATCTCCGCTTTTGTATAGTCCCCGTTTTCGTCAAGCCAGTACAAAAGAGAAACTAGCTTTTCCAAAAGCGCTTTGGAGCCATTTTGTGTTCAGTCATGTTTACTTGGGTATTTTTTGGTCCTGACTCACTCACTGCCAATGGCCATCCTTTCCAATCCTTCTCAGTACCGGAGTTTTGTCGTTCTCCATCACGTCTTACCAGTGCACCAGTTCCTCTCAGATCGTCAGATTCTCGATTTTTTTGGTCCCGCACCGAAGAGTGGCTCTGCTTTTTGACGTCTGGCTACTTAGTAAGTTTGCAACCGAGTGTAAATTTTCTATATGTATCAATAATCCGAGAGTTTTTAGAAATTTGTACATGCCTCTAAATGGATTCGTAATCAGAGATCACAGTTGAATGAATGAAGAATCCACTTTGGAGAGCTAACCACCATTTCTTTTTTTTTATTTTTTTATTTTATTTTTTTTTTTTGGTATACCATAATTTCGGGTCAGTATATTTTTGAAGGCTTGCTGTTTGGCTCAAATCTTTTTTGTCTTTACTATGTGCATATAAAGAAAACGAGACCTAAACACGAAGCATTAGTCTTGATAGCAGAGAGAGAAAGGCTCTCGTGCAGTACCACGGCACCGTGGCTTTGTATGTTAGCGTCAGAGCCGGCCTTAGATTAGTCCACGGATTCTTCTGCCATGGTGCAGACTTTCTGCTCCCTTTCCACCCAGCAGTACTAATAATCTCCAGCATCGGAGTCTCCAGAATGATGGCACAGCTCTAGTTTTAGTCTTCTCCACCTTCCGTGGCCAAAGGGTGGGTCAAGTACGACCAGCAGTTTTCTCTTGACCGTCTACTCCGGAATCTCGAGCCGCCGTGGGAGACAGAGCCAGCGTGCACTGTCTCGGCTGCGTAGGGCAGGAGAGATGTCAAAGCAGGAAGATGCATGAAGCACACAGGTCCACTCCGGGGCTCCACTAGGCTTCGTGTCCCCGGTTGCTGAGGGTGGAAACTGGACTCTTGAGGAGTGAAGCAAAAGAAAAGTCTGTCGTTTTCATCACTCAGTGAGATTTTCTTTCCCTGCAGAGTCAGCAGCAGAGAACTAGTCTTGCCCCCGTGTTACCTTTCTTGTTCATGTTCGTTTGTCTTTTCCTTGGCCGTTTTCAGATGAAGAATTTTGCAAGTTTAGATGCCTTAGAAAAAAAAAAAAACTCTTTGAGGAATGACCACAAAGTTTTTTAAGCAGCTGAAAAATATATACAGTCAAACCCCACTTTTACACGCCTCAGAGACATGGAGCAAATGCTGCAAAGAAGAAATGATAGAGGGAAGAGAAAGTCAAACACGCACTGTCTTAGCTCACATCAAAGTCACAATCAGGATACTCAAGTTCACTGAAGAAAATCGTGATTGCAGGCTTCCTTCTTGGCAGACAAAGCCAGAATCTCAAAGATCGCGTGCCGATCATCTTCCTAAGTCTTGGTCGGCACATCAGCCCAAGAAGCATGGTCTGTTAAGCACTTGCTAACACCTTATTGGGAACCCTGTCGGTGGGGGTGGGGGGCGGGGCGCGGCTCTATAGAAAACTATATGTCTCTTTTAAGAAGAAAAAAAGGAAAAATATTTTTGAGCACTCGTTAGTCCTATGCGGAGGTGTTTTCCCCCGCTGTATAGGACCAATTATTACTGCAGATTGCAGTGCTTACCAAGAATTTCTAAAAATGAGTGCAGATCACTGAATATAATACATTATTTAAAATATTGGGGGTGTGGTATGATTTGTGGAGAAATGTACATTGTAATGATGTAAATGGGGGTTTCACTCTATATATTATAAATATATATATATATATACACACACACTATATCGCACTTCATAGAGTCAAAAGTTCCTCTCAAGGAGCTTTGGCTCCTGATATTTTTATCATGCTCCGATTTTTTTTTAATCCTAGGAGCAGTAGTTTTTATACTTATGTATTTAAATTTTATTATTAAAAATTACATTTTATTAAAGAAAAAAGTGTGTTCCAAAGGCATTAAAATTATATATGTTAAGGAAATGCATTTAAAAAAATTTTTTTTTCAAACTGCTCCTAAGCTTTTGATTAGGAGGATATTTGCTCTGAAAGTAGGCTCTGAGCGCGGCTTCGGTCCTGCTTCCGTTGGTTTCTGTGAAACAGATTGCTTACCTAAATCACTAGTTGAATGATTAGTGTTCAATATTGCTTTAATCACCATTTTAAAACAAGGAAAAAGAAATTTGGTGACAGAGCACATATAACTAGAAAACCTATTTTTAAAATAGTAAACTCAAAAAGAAGAAAAGCACTCATGTCTACAATTTGCTTAGAAAGAAGTCAACTCGAGGAACAGAGACGTTGGCCTTAGTAGGCTGTATTTCACTACTGGTGAAAGATTAAAAGGGAGTACCAGAAATGATGAGATAAAGCATTGTGGAAATGGGAGCAAGCGCCTTAAAGGTAAATCTATATTTTTCGCCTAATTCCCACCCTGCATAGAATTTAATTCCATGGAGGCACATCTTTTAGGGCACCAGTGTCCAATCTGGTGTCTCCATTTTCTTAAGGACACCCTTGGCCGAGAGCTGCCCCACTGACTTAAAAATCACACTTCCAAGAAAGAGGGAATTCGGCTGATTTGTTTTTAAAACTGACCGTCGAGGTCACTAAACCCTTTTTTGAGAGAACTTTAATAAAGATGAGGCAAACTCATTAGTTTTAATTGCACATGGTCTAACGAGGATGCAATGCAGAATTGGCTCTGTTTTTTTATTTTTATTTTTGCCTAGAAAAAAGGAGATGACATTTGTTTCATGTCAACTCAATGTGATTAAAAATTACTGCCGTCCTGTTTTTATTTTCTGGTCGTCACCCTTGATTTCTGGTAGTGCCTTTGCTTCGCAAAAATAAATAAAAGGGATTATTCTTAAGCAAAAATTAGGGTCTCAGACAAGATATTGAACCTCATTCAGTTTGAACTTCCACGTGCGTGTCTGGCTTCGGTCCCCAGACCTGGAGGCGCGAATGTGGAAGGATCTCGACACTGTAGGCAATACTCTTCCTTGATGTAAGCAAGTATCTCTTACAGATCTGCCTTCTAGAACTCGATCCCCGAGTTCAGGGTTTCAGAACTTAGCTGGGCCTTAGCTGGTCCAACACCACCTTTCACAGCTTTCCGTTCCATTTCCTGTTTCCTTCAGGTGACAGGTTTTTGCCTGTTTGTTGCTTGTCCTTCGTAATTCCCAGTCATGTATGGAATATAGTGATATATTGCGTTAATTTGGACAGTCGCGGTTTTTAAAAACCTTATGCTGACTGAAACATGAGCCAGAGCTGTTTGCTTTATTAAGCTAATAAATGAATGTTAGAGAGCACATATTTTCGGGATGTTCATCTAGTAAGCAATATGCATATTTAGGCCAATATTTTTTTAAAAGAGCTTGGTCAACCTCTATACTACACATATTACAAGATATAGCACTTTCAAAACGAATCTAAATCTTTACAGAAACTTTCTTATAGGTGATGCCTTTTGTTTTAAGACTTACTATAATTTGTTTCAAGTGCCATTAGATGATATATATATGTGTATATATATATGTAGGCCTTTGATATATAATGCTTTGTGTTCAGAAACGGTAGGTGGTATTTTAAACAGGTACATTTTTACAGTGTTTTCTTACCAATTTGCTCTATTGCACAGAATCAGTGTGTGTCTTTTCATAAGGTTTTACAATGGTTTATTTTTTTACAAGGTTTACGTGTCTCAAAAACACACTGTCTTCCCAGTATGTAAGTTAAGAAAAAAAAATACCAGTTTCCCCAAGTTGCTTCTAGCCTACTGAGATCCACGTGGCGTTGGGGGAGGTCTTTTCAATGTCGAGTATTCTTCATTAGCAACTGCAGACTGTTACCTCTCACACTCGAATCCCGGCTGTCTTATCTGTACAACACTGTGTCGGACACACATCGCATCTGGTGGTTCCACAACTCCACCCAAGTGGTACGGTGCAGTTTTGTGCTGATAATCCATACAGAACTCCTTTGCGATCACACACACACACACACACACACACACACACACACACACACACACACGCAAATGATGCTGCCAGCAGTGGAAGGGCATGTTTGGGTCGCCTTGCAGTCCTGACACGGCGTCATCCAGCACCGGAGGTTGGCAGGCAGTGTCTTTTGATAGTGATCTGGCTCTGGAAATGACAGGACGTTGCTGATGGGTAAGGCTTCCTTGTGTAATCTTCAGTGGTACAGACGAACCCGAATGAATGTCCTCTCCTCAGAAACTCTCCTTCGATGTTACGTTGGGTCATGCTGCTAATGCAACTTGGGCTACAACTCTCCATGGTGCTACAAACTCCTCTGTCTCGTTCAGTTGTGTTTTGTTTTTAAATCCATAGACAAAAAGGACTTCATTTAGTGTAAAGGTGTACATTATATTTTTATACTGTGACTTCATTTGTCAGTAACAGACCTTGACACCACCCACCACAATGTATTCGTGTGCACTTACGGAAGGAATTCTCGGTGCAAATGTTACCAGAACAAACCCAGCTTTTGTCCATAAGGTGACTGTAATTCAGTATGGTAAATGGGCTTTGTGATATGGTGTGGAGTGAGGAACAAGCCTTGTGTTACTAACAGCCCTTTGAATTGAACAGAAACTTGGAATCCATTCGGAAATGGATTGCATCGTGCCCGGACATAAGCTGGACTGCTCAAATGTATTTTTAGCTGATGCAAAAGTGTTTGGACTAGTACCTAAAAACGTTCTAATGGTAAAGTGTTGAGTCAAATGGAAAAGAAAAAAAAAATTTGCATTCC